AGGGTACCACCAATCTGTACGGTTCGACGCAGCCGAAGCTTCCCGAACGAGAGTTCCGAAACGACCGATCGTGCAGCCGAGTTTGAAGATTTCCTTTCATCGAGATCGGGTAAGTTTGTTGGTCTCGAGAAAAAAAGAAAAAAAAAAAAAAAAGAAAAAATAAAATAAAATAAAATAAAATAAAATAAAAAAAAAAAAACAATAGAATAAAATAAAATAATAGAAAATGATCGATAAACGAAACGAAAGGGAGAAGCAAAAGTAAACAAAAAAAAAAAAAAAAAAAGAAAAAAAAAAGAAAAGAAAATAAGAAAAGATAAAGAGGAAACAAAAAAGTCGAGTATGATATTTCTCAGGTATGACCGACATTTCGACCGGCGTTCAAGTTATTGCCGATAGAAAGGAAGAAGATAAGAATCGGAAACAACGTCAACGTCAGCAAGAACAACGGCAACGTTATGAGGAGAATGAAGAGCTGGAGGAGGAAGAGGAGGAGAAGAAGAAGAAGAAGAAGAAGAAGAAGGAGGAGGAGGAGGAGGAGGAGGAGGAGGATCATTGGAAAGATGCTTTGCCATTAACGCCAATCTCAAGTCCTACGAAGTTGAAACAATCAATGAAAGAAAAATCGAGGATATTATCGAAGAATGAAAAAGAAATCGACTCGTCTAATAGATATTATCCAACTAATGATAAAATTCATACGGAGGAAGACGTAATCACGCCAACGATTGAGACAATTTCGATCGGGAAGGATGGCAAAGAGATTTATGAAATTCCAGACGTGATAACGCGCGTAGAACAAGCTGCGCCAAAGGTTAAATTAAAAGAGAAAGATGAAGGAGATATTCGAGAAAGGGATGAAGATATTAGAAAGAAACAGGAAGATAAAGATAAGGATGTCGAGGGAAAGGAGAAGGAAGAAAAAGTTATTGTCGATTTGTCTGACGTATCGGCATTAAGAAGAAAGAAATCGGAGGAAGAGAAAAGGAAGTGTCTTAATACGTACGATGGTACGGAGTCAAGGGAAGAAGGAATATCTACAGAAACATTGGATAAATCCGAGGAATCCTCCGAAAGGATTTCGAAGAAGAGGATAAGAAATGAGAGGGAAGATGATGTTGTTGCCGGTGTTAAAAGGAGATCGAAGAGAAGAGAGACAGAGAGAGATAGAAGATCAAAAGACGGGGATACAAGTAGAAGGAGAAGATCCAGGGAGGAGAGGAAGAGTCTGAAGGAACAGGAGTGCATCGAGAGGGTCACTCAGTATCTCAGGAAGCATAGCTCGCTAACCGCATTTAACGAGCCAGAGCCACCGGAGTACTCATATTCGACTTTCGACGAGGATAGTTCGTTGTTACGTAGTTTGGACGACGAAAGAAAGAAACGAATGGAATTAGAGGCCATCGTTCAGAAAGAAAAAGAAAAGGATAAAAAAGAGATAAAAGAGGAGGAAGAGATTAAAAAGAAAATGGACGAAGATTTGAATGTTATTAAAATCGTGGAAACGAAATCTTCTTTAGACGAGAAAAATATATCCGACGATATTAAGATCGTCGAATCTGATCGATCGATAGATGAATTTAATATTAATAATAAAGAACATGTACGTATGGACGACGAACCAAACGTAATCGTAGATACGATGGGAATTAGAAGAACTGAATCCGATGGATTCGGTGAAACTATGAGAAGTTTAAGAAATAAACGATCATTGAAACCATCGATATCGGATACCGATGTTGTTAAATCGAGTAAACGACCTAGCTCATTGAGAAAAAGAAAAGATATGGTTTCTAATGAATCCTCAAAGGAATCACTACTCGAGGAATCGAAGAAGGAAGTTAGGATAAGGGAAACCGTACAAGAGATATTCTTTGAGGATAATAGCGATCAATTGTCGACATTAATACCGGAAATACAATTGGTTAAAGCGAGGATAATTACGGCCGAGGAAGTGGCTAGTGCACGTTTCGAGGCTAAAGATTTACGAAAAATTGAAATCTATTCGCCGGCTGACGTTGTTTTTATTCGTCAGGACGATGATACGATCGAAAAGGGTCAAACATCACGTGTAATACCTTCTTCATCTTCTTCATCTTCCGAATTAAAATTGCCGTTATTAGGTAAATCAATTTCGGAAAATACTTTGACAAACGATGATATTATCATAGACGATAACAAAATTTCTGAGAGAAACATTAAGCCAGAAATTTTATTGGATTTGTCGAAGGTATCCGAAATAGTGGATGATGATACTATAGTTACGGACAAAGATATAGATAATAAAGATAAGAAGGTACTTAATAGGACAGGTAGTGAAGGTTCAAAGAGATCGTTCATTGGTGCAAAAGAGAAATTCTTTGATAAACGTGACGTTAAGATTAGTGCTCCTCTATCGTTGCCTAGTGAACCGAAATCGGAACTGACAGAGGACGTTTTAGTGATTCGTAAAGATGTTAAGAAATTAGAAGAAGACATATCCAAGGATTTCGATGGCAAAGAATCGAGGTAAGCAAGACTTATTTCTTTTCTCTTCTTTTCTTTTCTTTTCTTTTTACTTTCTTTCTTTCTTTCTTTCTTTCTTTCTTTCTTTCTTTTTTTTTCCAGAAGTTAAATTCCCCTTCGTAACTTGGAATAACGATATAATTTCTAATCCGGTAATGGAGTTAGAGGTAGTATCGCTAAAGCTAATCGATTAGCGGTAAAAGTATGCACGTTGGGCTTCGAACGTCGCGATTAACAAACAAACGTATAATACGTATAATATATATTGTAAATCTAGTCCGTTACCTTAGATTAGGGTTGGATTACACGTGTGCCGCCGCCTCGCCTCTCCCACCCCCCGCTATAGGTATAAAATAGAATAATAGATGATAATAAAAGAATTATTTGTCTAGTAGAATCTGGGTCATCGAGAATGCCGGGAAATGTTTTCCATCAACCACGAAGTCGTACAGAAGAGCTTCGTACTACTACGCATTGCTAATCAAAACGGTATAATGAAATAAGCTAGGTACGATTGGAAACTTCGTAGATAGAATCTAATACTCGAGACGAAAGGTTACGATAATCGATCGATTGATTATCGATAAGAATATAATATCATACGTCCATTTCGAATCGTATTTCGAAAGGGAACGACGAAAGAAAAAAAAAGAAAAAGGAGGGAAAAGAAAATTTTACTATTTCATTCAAAGTTCCACGTCATTTAATTAAAATATATTTATATATATATATATGTATATACATAATATATATGTATATATGTATGTGTGTATATATGCATAAAAATGAAATTATTTTGAATAACCTTCGTTTCACTTTACTATTATGTTTAAGCCTTAGTTATATGTAATTCGTTTATCGTATGGAATATATAGTTATGCAAGAGAGAAGGGACGACGAACGTATCGATTAAATCGACTATCGGCAATTAATGTGCCATCATAAAAACAAACATACGTAATAAAAAGATTTCTCGGTGATTCCTCCATCTTATTATACTCGCGATAGAAAAGATCTATACATACATATATGTATATATATAAATTTTATATATATATATATATATATATATATATATATATATAAATGATAATTGAACCTATGTGTTATATATAGGTGAATATTTGCGATTAAAAAAAAAACATTTATAGATAATAATAATATACGATCGGATATGTAAGGAACGAAAGAGCGATAGAAAAGAATTAAAAAAGAAATATAATATGTGCTATGTTTATACGTGTTTATATGGGTGTATTAAAAAGAAAATGAATGTTTTAGAAACAGAAGGAGAAATAATATGTTATAAAGAGAAAGAAAAATAATATGTTAAAATAAAAGAGAGAGAGTGAGAGAGAGAGAGAGAGAAAAAGGAAAGAAATAATGTTTTAAAATAGACGGTGTGTTGATAAGAACAACGGAAAGAGAGAAAGAGCGACGACGTTTTAAAAGGAGAAAGAAAGACAATATGTTAATAAGAAAATGAAAAAGAGAAAGTCATAAGAAATTAAGAAAACCAATGCATTAAAGAGAAATTGACTAATCAAATGTTACAAAGAGATAAATGTAATCAAATGATATGAAGAGAGGGAAAAATTTAATGTTATGAAAGAGTGGAAAAGAGATAGAGAGAAAAAAAGAGAGAGAGAGAGAGAGAGAGAGAGAGAGAGAGAGAGAGAGTGAGTGAGAAAAAATAAGAAAAACCGATCTACTAAAATGAGACAGAGAAGAAAGAGAAATAAAATATTTTTAAAAGATAAATAGAGAGAGAAATAGAGAGAGAGAGAGAGAGAGAGAGAGAGAGAAAGGGGAGGGACGAATAAAATATTAAAAAAAAAAAAAAAAAGAAAAAAGAGAAAGCAGAAAAGAAATATGATATTAAAATTAAAATAAAAATACAAAATAAATAAATAAATAAATAAATAAATAAATAAGTAAATATGTTATAGAGATGTTAAAGAGATGAGAAAAAAAATGAGATATAATGTTTAATAAGGGAAAGAGAAGTAGTGCATTGAAATAAGTGAAAGAAAAAGTAGAGGGTGAGGAAGAGAGAGGACAGAGAGAGAGAGAGAGAGAGAGAGAGAGAGAAAGTGTTAAGAAAAGAGACTAAAGAAAGATAGATAGATATATAGAGAGAGAGAGAGGGAGAGAGAGACAGGGGGAAGAGAGGGACGAGAGAGAGAGAGAGAAAGGTAGAAAGAGATAGATATAAAGAAGAAAGAGAGGGGAGTACTAAGTGTGTGTGTGTGGGTGTCTATGTTTATGCGGGAGGAAAAGAAGGAAGGAGAAGAGTAAATGCGCGTGCGAGAAAAAGAGAGAGAGAAAAAGAGAGAGAGAGAGAGAGAGAGAGAGAGAGAGAGAGAGAGAGAGAATGAGAGAGGGAGAGAAGGAAAGAGAGAGGGAGAAAGAGAAACGAGGAGAGAAAGACAAGGATAGTCGTAAGTTTACGATCGGACAGAGTCGCGTGCTTTACTCTCCCTCTCTCTCTCTTTCTCTCTCTCTCTCTCTCTCTCTATCTATCTATCTATCTCTCTCCGTCTCTCTTTCTGCGCTCTTCTGGTCTCTGGTCTGTTCTGCTCGCTTTCCCGCTAGCTCGCGCTAGCTCGAAGGAAATCGAGCGGGCATCGCGGGCTCTCCAACGTTTCTCTCTCTCTCTCTCTTACTCTCTCTCTCTTTCTCTCTCTTTCTCTAACTCTCTCTCTCTCTCTCTCTCTCTCTCTCTCTTTCTCTCTCGCGCGCGCAACCAAGAGCCGTTGTTTATTAGATCAGAGAGTAAGCCAGTTTGCAGTGACGCACGACCTGCTCGGAGACACACACCGAACCCGACAGTGAACACCTTGAGTTTCTCGCGCAACGTAAAGACCAAAGAAGACAGCCAAAGAGGACGAACAAACAGTCTGTCACAACTGTACTCTCTATCTCAATCTCAATCTCAATCTCAATCTCAATCTCTATCTCTATCTCTATCTCTATCTCTATCTCTGTCTATTCATGTATGTTTATCTCTAATGTCATCATCTCTTGTATGACATCTCCTATTCTCACGTGGATAAACAAAAATCATCCAAGGAATATTCATTTGGATTTTTTTTTCTTTTTTTTTTTTTTGTATTTATCTTACATTCTCTTCCCTCTGCAATCCTCTCCTGCTTATCTCTTCCTTCTTTTCTTCCTGCTGCTACTGCCACTGCTACTGCTGCTGCTGCTGCTGCTGCTGCTGCTGCTGCTGCTGCTGTTGCTGTTGCTGCTGGTGGTGGTGCTATTGCTGTTGCACTTCCTTTAACACCAACACCCTCCTCCTTACCACTCATCGTCATATCCTCACTTTCGTCTCTTTCAAACGTAAGCGTGATTAAAAGTTTCTCTCTATTTCTATTTTCGTGTATGTACGCGATTTCCAATGAAACATATTCGCCATCTCTCTCTTTCTCTCTCTTTCTCTCTTTCTCCTCTATCTATCTATCTGTCTCTGTCTCTGTCTCTTTATCTCTATGTCTTTTTCTATTATTCTCTATCATTTTCTCTCGTTCTATCTTCATCTATGTATTTCTTTCTCTTTTTCTCATCCTTTCTTTTTTTTTTTTTTTTTTTGTTTCCTTCGTTCTCTTTATCGTGAAAGATAGAAAATTTTGTCGATTTTGTAGCTAGCCGTGACGTGTTACCAAACCGGAAGTGAAAGTACGGAGTTCTCGGTCGCTTCTTCTTCGAAGCGTTTCGTCGTTCGGATAATAACCAGAGCATCGTTGGAGTTGATTCTCTCTCTCTTTCTTTCTCTCTCTCTCTCTCTCTCTTTTTCTCTTTCTCTCTCTCTCTTTTTCTCTCTCTCTTTCTCATCTCTTTTCCTTTTCGGATCGTTCCGAATATAATACATCGCATATTGGCATGGTATATAAACAATGAAGAATTTCTAAAAATGATTTACGATATATGTGTAATAATTGTTTTATAAAAAATGTCTGACCATTGAAATCGATTACTATAGATCGTATTATACATACGTATGTTTAATATTGAATGATAATCTTTGTAAATAGTTTGATTCGTATTATAGTAATTTTGTTTGAATTATTATTTTAAGAAATTCTTCAATTAGAAATTTTTATGTAATATTGACGATTTCTTTTCTTCTTTTTTTTTCTTTTTTTTTTTTTCATAACGATCCATAAATCATTTGCATTTGAAACAGAATCTTATTAAAAATATATTGTACGATAACGTGTGAGAAGATTATTCGAACATTGATTAATTCTTAGAAATTTATTAAAAGAATTTTTAATAATATGCACTTTTGATTATACGCTCTCGTTCTCTCTCTCTCTCTCTCTCTCTCTCTTTCTCTCTCTCTCTTTGTAAAATGCTGGATATTCCAATACATTGAAATATGATAGTAATATAACGGAATGACAAAAAAAAATATTATTGTATCATTACTACGAGTAATTTGCTCGTATCGTTCATCGAAATCTAATAATAGAAATTTTCTATTAATATCGTCATATTAAAAGCAAACAATATTGTCCGATTATATTCTGTCGAAGGAATGAAATGATTATATTACGATGATAAATAATTGTCAAACGTATATTTAGAATGATCGTTCATATATAATAATTTCTAATGCGTAATTCTAAGATCTAAGAGGAAAAAAAAGAAGAAAAAAAAGAAAAAAAAAAAGAAAAGAAGAAAGAAAGGAAAAAAAAATCGACTTCTAATAAATTTTAACGAACGATCATATCAATTAGAACTATTGTGAATGTTTCGATGGGAGCTCGTTATTGAATGATCCTCAAAAGGCCAGTTTTAGACTTGCAATCAAATCTTCGAGACATCAAAAAACTCGTTCGTAATTAAGAGAATTGTTCCACGCGATTGAACTTGCCCTGAGTCCGGTGTTCTTAATGGGTCAGTGCGGAAGACCTCTCGGTTCGCCGTTTCAGCGGATTCCTTTTTGTTGCTTCTAACCATTAGAGATCGAACGAGCACGAAGCCCGCTGAAGTACTTTAGACTTCGATCGAAGATTATACTTCTATCTCTTGTGTCTTTCTTCCTTTCTTCCTTCCTTCCTTCCTTCCTTCCTTCCTTCTTTTCTTTTTTTCTTTCATTTTCTTTACCTTCTTTAAGTCGTTTTTATTTTCCTTTTTAATTTTTGTTAAGCCATGATTTTTAGAGCGGAACGTCGCATAACGTTACCTCGAAGATTTCTTTCGTTTTAAGCTTGGAAGAACGTGCAGACCGTGAGGAGAAAAGGAAACAGGAACAGCGACAACAACAACAACAACAACAACAACAACAACAACTGTTACAGCTACAACAGGAACAGGAACAGGAACAACAGCAGGAATCAAAGAAATCTTTAACAGAGGAAGACGTTATCAAGGAGAAAAAGGAAGAATTAAGTGGGGAAGTAGTAGATTATGAAAAAATCCTCCGACAGCAGGTGGAGGAACGTCCGCTGCTGGAGGAGGATAAAACATTATTGACTTGTCAGGAGGAGGATAATTTGATAAGTAAGGAACATTCCTTGGAATATCAAAGTCAGACATTAGAGAGTCAATTGGAATCTTTGACTTCAGCTGAACCAACGGTAGTACCAGTTGTCCCAAGGAATTTCTTCAAATCTGTACCGGACAGTTGGAAGCGCGAGGTCAACGAGGAAAGTTTCGACGATATAGAAAGAAGTTACAAGGAGACACAATCATCGCCACGTGAGAAACGTGAAGTTGAAACACAGACGGTACAAGAGACGAAAAGTACTCAATGTAGTCCGGATCAAAGTTTATCGAGTACAGCGGAGATCTTTGAGACGGCCGGGATACACGTGGCATTGAGATTTTATCAAAGTCCAAAGAGGGAAGTTCAAACGCAAACCCAAGGTGAAAGTAAAAGTATTCAATGCTCGTTGGATGATTTAATATATCATGAATTATCGTTTGATCCACGATTACTTGGTAAAACGTTCGACAATTTAGTTAAAACCGAACGAATACAAATTCAAGAGTCTAAGAGCGTACAATGTATACCGGAGGATATCTCGAGTGAGCCAAAGTTTAAATCAATAGTGGATAACAAGAAGTTGAAGGAGGAGGAGAGGAAGAAGAAGAAGAAGAAGGAGGATTCGTTATTAGGTTTACGTAAAGAAGTAGAAGTTCAAACTTATCAAGAATCAAAAGCCGTTCAATGTACCGACGAAGAGTTACAATCTTACGAGACTGATCGTACTTTAGATAAATCATCGAACAGACCGGATAGCTTAACAACCACTCGAAATACCGAAATCTCTTTGGTTCCCTCGTCCCGTAAACTTGCCACGGTTGTCTTTGTCGAGGGTAAAACTATCATGACGGTCACGCAAAGAGATCACGATGGTAACATCGCCTGGTCTAATCATTGGGGACCAGAAAGGCTCGTAGAAATTTACAGAGAACCCAAAACCAGCTTGGGACTTAGCATAGTAGGTGGAAAGGTGAGTACTAATTTTATTTATTTCTTATTATTATTATTTTTTCTTTCTCTCTCTGTGTCTCTGTCTCTGTCTCGTAAAACATCAACGTAGGACAATGATGTATTATTATGTTTTTTTTTTTTTTTAGACTGAAAAGATCAAGGAAGAATTGTTGTGTCGTTCTTCCTGGTATCATTTTCTTCTTCTTTTTTTCTTTTTCTTTTATTTCTTCTCTACTTGTTCTCTACGGAACAACACAAAGGAGGACAAAAGCGTTACGCTAGCGTTACGTTATTGAATGGAAGTGAATTTTTATTAGAGACGTATGTATGTATGTATGTATGTATGTATCTACGTACGTATGGATGGATGGATGGAAGTATGTATGTACGTACGTCGCAAGGCAAATTGATGCTATAACGTTTGAGAGTAAAGTGCTATCGTGTCTAATAGCATACCTGTATTATACACAGGGTGTTGGAAGTAAAAATGGTATATTATCAGGGAATCATATTTTATTAATAAATTTTTGTTCCTTTTTTTTAATTTTTATTTCTTTCTTCTTTGTAATCATTTTCTTCTTTTTTTTATTTTTTATTTTTTTTTTTTGACTAACCTAATAAAATCAATTGATAATATTGTGGAGAAATTAATGACGATTGAAGGAAATGAATTTTGATAAGATATCAATGGAAAGAAAAGGAAATTCAAAAGTAATTATTATATATTAGTTAGATAGATAAATAGAGAGAGAGAGAGAGAGAGAGAGAGAAAATAATTAATATATGCATAAGAAAAAATTTAATATATATATATATATATGTATGTAGAAAATTAATAATAAATCGATATTACGTTTAGATCTTACCACCCTATATAAAACTAATTCCGTAGCACAGAGATATGAGTACATATATAGAGTAGCTAGCTGCATCGTATATAAGTATATTAAATGTGGTTTCGTGACATTAAGCTGATAGGGAGAATAGTGTAAGTGATTGAGTGAGTATGAGTGTGTGTGTGTGTGTGAGTATGTGTATGTGAGAAAG